CCTTCATCCCCCATGCTCTCTTCTCTCTCCCTTCCCCCTTCCCTTCCTCTCCTATCGCAACTGTTTTCTCTCTCTCTGCTCTTTGCGCGCCTGTTTCCTTTCTTGATGATCTGAATCCTGGACCCGTCTTGCGCTGCTTCCCACGCCTCTTTCCTTCTCGTTCTTTAGTCTTGGCTCACGAAACCTGGTTAATCCTTCGATTACCCCCGCTCACCAATCAGATGCGTTGAGTAAGAGGATCCTTCTATTGCGCGACGAATCTGATTGGCTGAACATTGGGTTCCGAAGGATCAACATGGCTCCCTTAAGCGCCCCCCGCTGAATCTTCTCCTCCTACACATCGGTTTCCCCTCCGCCTTCTCCTCATTCTGCCTCCCTTCTCGCAACTATAAATTCCACAAGTGCGTCCGCAAATCTCTCTTACGTCATCAACTCCCAAGCCAGCTTCCGGGAAGCAGTGGCTAGGTGATGCGTTTGGTGCGAGTCGAAAACTCCTAACGGGCTGACTGTAGGCTGGCCGGTTGCACGCTTGGTCGCCACGACGGACTGTGGGATCCGGGCGAGCCGTGTCGAGCTTGCGTCAGCGGGGTGGCGATAGCAGCGGCAGAAGATTAGCACGCGACGGCCGGGATCGTCAGTGCGGGTATGAGGATCAGTAATTGGAGTTAAATGGATGATTGGCTTAGAGCAATATTTAAATTTCACGGCGAATGCGCCTTCACTGTTGCGGATTATTTTTTTCTTTCGTGTGAGTTCACGACTGTGAAGCGGAACATTCTCTTTTCAGATCCCAGTGTCTCCTGTCTTGACATTTCTCGTCTATCCCCCCCCCTTTCTTGCTCTGATCTGAATGACGAGGTGTTATGAGTTTGTCTCTTTAATGAACAGAAGTGAATCCTTGTGATTTCCTGCGCAGAAGAACTTCTTCTGAAACTCTTCCATTAGTTTCCTGGGTGATCCCCGGATGCAAAGGAATTCAATCCTCTTGTCTTGTGAATGGTGGATGCGTGTGTACTATCCCCTGGTTTGCTTCCGATTTGTGGAGGGAGTGATGCTCCATGGTCATTTTCGCACCTTCCACAGTGGATGTATGCACAAAAGGGAAAATGCTTGTAATTGAATTTGGTTTTGGTTAGACCCAGAGCTCTACGGGATTTTGTTCGAGAATGCAAGAGTGTTTTCGTTCTGAATACACTGTGCATGCCATCTGCCTTATACTGCACGACATTTGCAGACAGTCTATGGAGCAGCCTCGAAAGAGTCAGGCGCCTCGGATTTTGGTCGATCTGGTCTGCTGAACGAGAGTTGCAGGTCGATCCCTCGAAACTCCAACCCGATTATTGCATGGTTGTACGGGCTCTGTAAGATTCTTCCCTCGTGTCGAAAGGAAGGAAAATGTTAGTTGGTTTTTACGATTGTGTTTTTTGATGACGTCCCGGGGTTTTTGCAAACCCATTTTCGATTAATTGGCATGTGGACTGACGAACGCACCTCGATCGGGTGCGAGCCTCCCGTGTCTCCCACGCCAACGCGCCCCTTCCCTTACAACGAGGAAAGGACACGTGTTTGCGAGTGGGACGTACGAGAAGCTGTCGCACGGATTGGTGGACGATATTACTTCCCTCTTGAAAATCGCTGCTCTTGATTCGTGGACGCAGGCTTTGTCATTATCGATACGCACTTCCCGCCTTACTTAGTATTGTTGCCATTTAACGTGCTGATTGTCATTTTGTGGACGGGAGTGGCGCCCCATTGGCCTCGAACCCTGTGCACTGCGTGCCAGCGTTTCAATCGCTACGAATCAAAGGGCTTCCAGTACCGTATACGGAGTGAAGACGAGCACAAGGAAAGAGCCACGGGGCTGAGACCCTCCACGTCGGACTCGAAACTGACCAACGAGCGACGCTGGGACTTGATACGGAAACGTGACACGCGGAGTGTACCGAAGCCCTTCAGTTCTAAACGAAGAGCCGTAGCATGGTGGGAAGTTCGGCAATACTTTTTGGATTGAATTTGGATTTTTTTCTTTTCGCGCTGTGCCCGCACGCCCATTCCGGACTCGCGAAAGCAACCGACTTACTTCATCAGGCCAACACGGGGGATTTCAGTTCTGTCTGTGTCCCCACACTCAATTTTCCAAAAATCCTTGGCACACCCCATCTTGCTGTTTTCCTGGGCCTCCTTTCCGCACCCTTAGCACTTCGAACGGAAGACAGCACAGGGCGTGAGGATGCGCGTCACAGGACTGTATGAGGCTGGAGGCCAGGCCATATGGCAGACCACAGGAATGTCCGTCTCTGTGAAAGCCCAAGAAAATCCGGCGCGTTAATTGGGAAAGACCTGCGGAGCCCTCCTGTGTGGGGTCCCGGTTTGCTTTTCTGCTCGGCACTATCGGTGTCCATCTTTCAAGGGACTTTCTCTATTTTTCTCTTCTTACGTATTGTCGGATCAGTGCCCATTTCTGAATCAGCTCAAATCTGTCGCCCAAAAAAATGGGGAAAAGTTTGAAAGTTAAAAAACTTCCCGCACCCCTTTTTTTTTTCTTTTTTTTAAGGGCGACGTCCTTGATATATCATCATTAAGCTGAGCGGCCCCAGGGAATTCAGAAATAGTTGGTTTTACAACTTTTACTTGTCAACTTCCATCATCTGGATTCGAACACGGGTCTGTATTTTCAACAGTTCATGGGTGTACCCAGTGAGCAAGGCTCTTGGGTGCCCCCATGTTTGCACAGCGGGCGTTACCGGCCCAGGCAGGGTGCAAAAAAGACACAAAAAGTCATTTTAAGACCTGGGACACTTTTTCCCCCGTTTGGGGGGAAACGAATACAAAGGTTTCCTCGTGGGGAGGTTTTGTAACTTTCCCCAAAAAGGGCACTTTCTGAGATCAGGCGTGACATGCGGGAGGTGTGGTCCGCGTCGAATTGCCTTCAGAACATGATGGTCTCGACGGTTCAGCACTTGAGCGTCGATCTGGCGAGCTCCGTAAACAGGACTCTACCCGCTGGATTGGGTTTTGTGTTCGACAGCCGAACTCGTTTTTGAGCGCTCTCCTGCACGCGCCATCATCTCCCCTGAGGTAAGCATTCATATTTCCGTATGGATCGGTTTATGATACGTGAACGAGCACATTGATATTACAAGGGTTTCCCTGGACATTTCTCTCTCTCTCTCTCTCTCTCTCTCTCTCTCTCTCTCTCTCTCTCTCTCTCTCTCTCTCTCTCTCTCTCTCTCTCTCTCTCTCTCTCTGCCTGCCTGTCTGAGTAGGGGCTGAAAACCGGGCGAGTATCCTGCCACCCTCTATGTGAAGGTGCAGGGGAGGCCTTCGGCATAGAGTTAATTGCAAGGCCAGATCCTCGACAATGATGAGCTTACCTCCTCGTATCATATCATTGTCGCGCTCGAGAAGGGTTTGTACAACCCCATCGGTCATAGACTTTTGTGCTCTCCGTGCGGAATTTACACGGAGTTCCCTTCCTCAAGAATCTCTACGTTCCTTTCTGCCCCGTTACTCAAGTCAGGGGCTTGAATCGTGGTGGAATCGGTTGGATACAGTAATGTCAGGAGCTACTCTCTTTAACCGAAAAAGATAAAAGTAAAAATAAAATAAAATCCCTTTTCCCGCGGGCGGATCACTCCTTGGATCACTTTTTACGCTGAATATCAAGGTGGGTCTTCTCTTTCAAACTCTTTCTCGTTGTTTTAATTTTTGACTATCTATCTGGATGCCATTAGTCCGACGCTCACTATTTATCGGCTGGTATGCAACCAGCGGGTTTTCGGATGTAATTACGCTACTTTCATTCAATTCGTCAAGTTTTCATGCCACTCATTTGGGTCCATCAGGATTCGAACTAGGGTCTGTCTTTCAACAACTCACGGGTGTACCAACTAAGCTAGGATCGCTGGTAATCGTTAACTCTTCTTAAAGACCTGCTCTGACAAATCTCAAGCTGCCGAGTTTAACAACAATCTGAACAAATCCGTAGTTCTTCTTCTGTCGATAAATTTTGTTTAATTTATTAAATCATGTTGTCGATTTAAATCATTGATTGAATTTGACGGATGGATTGAGTGATGGATTTCTCCCCGTGGTTTCTCGCCGCGCCTCTTGCCCCGTCTTGCTTGTCTCCTTGCTTTACACGGATGCGATTCTGACTTTTTCTCGAACCTTTTCTTTCCTCAATTGATTATTTGAATTTGTAAAGACGCTGAACAATTCGATATCAGGTTAACCGGACTCCCTTTATTTTGATTGAGGGACAGTGAACCTTTATTATGATTGAGGGACAGCGCCTGTGAGGTTTTTCCGTGCCCTCCTGCTTCACATTTGTCCTCTTCCTCCTGTCCCGACGATCCTTTGGTCCACCGCGAAATTGGACTCCCAGTTGATCACATTTTGTTTTCCCCATATTCATAGGAAATCAATCAATCAATCAATCAATCAATCAATCAATCAATCAGTCAATCAATCAATCGATCAGCAAATAAATTAATCAATAAGTCAGTCAATCAACGAATCACTCGATAAATCGACCAAAATCAGTCCACCAGTCAATCAACCAATGACTCGACCAATCAATCAAATAATGGATCCATCGATTAATCAATTAATCCATCCATCCTCCCATCCATCCATCCACCCTATCAATCAATCGATCGAAAATCCCTTATATGTTCAATCAATCAATCAGTCAATCAACCACTCGATCAAGTCGTCAATCAATCCAATCGCTGAATCAATCAACAATCCCTAATATTTTCAATCAATCAGTCGATCAAATCAACCCATCAGTCAAATGGGCCCGCGTCCTGGACCCCCTATTCATCGCTTTTCTTTGTGCTCGGTCATCAGGCGCCCTGTCGGTGAGATGAAGCGCTCATGTGGAAATCCACACCGTCAGCAGGCCAAGGGGCCTGCTGACGGTGTGGATTCCCACTTAAACTGTTCACCTCACCCCAGTCATGGCGGTTAATCTCGTCAGCAGAACAAATCAGAGAGTGTCTGCCAACGAAATTCTGAATTTTCGCGTTTTTTTGTTTTCTCTTTGAATGATTGTTGAGGTTTATACGGTTCATTTGCAGGGTCACAGTATGAAGGAATCTGCGGTTGAGACAATGTTTCAGAACAGGCACATTCCTAAGGTCGTAGACATGTTAAGGACGCGCCTGGACCTGGAGCCGAAGCCCCACCCTTATGAAGACGAAGCCGTTGTGCGGGGGGCAGCACTCTTTGCTGATTGCAACGAGCGGGTTATGGAGAGTGATCCCATCCCGGGGGGCCGATCTCCGAGAACGGGACCGGATTCAGTACCTGCTGTGTTTGGTAAATCCGGGGGGCGATCTCCGCACGACATCACTCGTTGGAAGCAGGTTGCAGAGGAGTTGCCTGTGCACGAATGGAGTGAATGGGAGAAGTACACCTGCCAAGTGGAGAAGAGAGAGTATTCATGTCCGGGCTGGCTGTGGAGTATTATATTAGAATGGAAGCGTGACATCGACGGCTGGCTTGGCAAGAAAGCGGCAGGTGGGATCAAGGAATTTGCCACCCGGTTTGTCGAATTCCGAAGGGCGTGCGAATATGCATTTGGAGCGTTGCGGGCAAGACCAAATTCAGGAAGGAAGTTCTTGGTGGTCGATTGCTGGAAATCCAATGATATAAAGGACTGCCTGCGGAGCCTTCAGGCGAGCAGGGGGCCGGAGCTCTGCGATATGGTCATCTCCATGCCGCTTCAGGAGCTCCGCAAGAGAAAGGAACGTATCGCAGAAATGGAGGGAATAGGATTAGCGGCACTCGGCCTTTCGCCCAAGGCGACGCCCAACGCCTTGATGAACGGAGGGATCCCTTATGTCCTTCTCGAGGCAGGGCCCGCGGTAACGGGCTCAGGCGATCCAGAGGATCTCTGCTCGGGGTGGAACAAGCTTGTTGGTGAGCAGGTGTCGCTAGCCCTGCAAGCTGGTCTTCAGGTCGTCTTGCGCCTTGGACGTGATGATTGTGACGATGTGCACTTCAGGAATGAGGCTTTCAAACTAGAGGATGAGAAGCTCCATTGCGGAGCACAACTCAGGGACATTGTCGGTCGCGTAGGCAAGGATTTTCGAAACATAGCTATCGCTTATCTGCCTCCACGGCACATGCTGGCTTCGGCAATTGAAGCCGCTGCAGCAGAGGCGCAATGTGATATAGTCCAGACGGTTCGGCACATAAGACGTGTGATTGGGGACTTGGTGAACGACCAGGCCGCCGATACAACGCGCATCCTTATCGGCGGATGCAAGACGGCGGACACGTGGCATGCCCTGCTAAGTCGGCGGCACGAGATTGATGGCTTTCTTCTTGAGGCGGGCCTCCGAGAGCCTCACCTGTTTGACCAACTTCTTCTCCTAGGGGGACCAAGCAGGCGAATTCGCCAGGAGAGGGGGGGCAAAGTGTTGCTTTGTGGGGGCCAACAGGAAAATGTGACCCTCAGTGAGTATGACATGGTCTGGTTGAGCGCTGTCACAGACGAGCTGATGGGTACAGAGGAGGTCCTCTGGATTGCGACGAAGTGTGTATCAACTGTGGGGGTGGGTTCAGAAATGAACTTGATCAGGGAAATCAACGGCTCCAATGTGTTGCTCTGGAGGGAGGGTCATATTATGACCGACTACCGCGGAGAGGTTGGAGAAGAGCAAAAGGTGACGATCGTCCCCATTGTCGACTGTGACAACAACAGCCAGGGACTCGAGCTAGCAGATGCGCTATCGACGCAGCTCTCAGTATTGAGGGCGAAACTGGCCGGAAAAGGTGACACTCAATGGTCACAGCTTCTTCTTGAGTACAGGCCTGCAGACGGTGTGAACTTCTCACGCTCTCTTTTTGAGACTGTGGAGAGAACTCACGTCCTCATCAGGAGATGGGTTCTGGCGAACTTGGGAGCAGAGGCGGCGCAGGAGGTGCGAATCGTATGCTTTCTTGAGGAGCAGGTGGAGTCAGAGACACGTCGACAAATTGCGAATCTGCCCCATGTAGATGGGGTGAGCCTGCGACTTCCCGAACGGCGAACTATCAGCCGCCCCGGTCTTTCGGCCTAGACGCAGGTAGATCGCATCCTCTGCTTTTCTTTTTATGAAAAGTTTTGTAAGACCTGGCAGCACTGTAACGAACATTGACTCCGAATCCAGCGGCCTAGCTCAGTTGGTAAGGCTCACAAAGAGTCGCAAGTGGCATTCAGAAGGTCTTGGGTTCAATCCCCATTGCCCTCATGGACCTTCCTGGGCATGCTTGGCGCCCCCCAACTAGAGATGGACCACTGGGCTTGGTCCCGGCTGGGTCCCACCTGTGCCTTTCTGTTGTAGGAGGCTAGCATGAAGCGACTGGTGGGCGTCTAGGGACCATCCATTTGTCAATCCATGGTCCTTAGGTGCCCGCCATTCTCTTCGTGGTAGCCTCCTGCAACGAAAATGCGCAGGTGGGACCGAGCCCCCGGATCTGCATTGAACAGAAACGGCTGATGTTCATAGGGGAGGGGACCAGAGGGGAGGTCCAGGGATTGCTCCCTTGGCATGGTACGTGATGCTACCGGCTGTCTCCTGGCCGGTATCGTTCACCTGCAGGTCAGGCGCAGCCCCTACATGTTCCCTCTTATACCGGCCACCTGCAGGGTCAGGCGCAGCCCCTACATGTTCCCTCTTTTGAGGCATTGTGAACCCGGGCTGGCTGCTCCGGGGTTCCCCTTAATACTATAAGCAGAAGTAGTGGTAGGTAGGTAGTGTAAGGTGGAATAGAGAGAAGAATCTAGTTTAGTTTTATAAAAGAAAAAAGAGAAAAAGAAAAAAAACATGACTCTGAATATTTTAGAGTCGGTGATGTGAATGGGAGAAGCTTTGCTTCCAAGAGAAGGTTTCCTCAATTTGACGGCCCCATTCTATTTGTGGGGAGCTGTACCAGCTCGAATCCGGACCTGGCATTGATTGCCCCTCCATGAGGGGATCTACACAATTTTACAGCATTCATTGCCCCAGTCATGCAGAACTTCCATTCTTGCCCGGCTCCTTTTTGGTGCCGGGATCATGCTGAGAACACTGCAAGTGTGGTAGTGCAGTTGGTTAGAACTCTGGCATGTGACGAACTACTTCCCGAACCCGTGCTATCTTTCGTACCCTGGCTTGAATTTTTCCTGTATTATACCAACTCCACGAATACCCCGTTTTGTTTTCTTGATTTCGGACACCGCGTTTTGGGCCCCCGTCCTCCGAAAACTCTTTGATTCTTGGATTCTGCTTTTGCAATTCGGGAAATACATGGAAAATTACGTGCGCCTCAGCGAGCGCACTGGGAATTGGGCTCGGCAGTTGGGAATTCCGGGATAAGCGGAACTTCGACGTGTCCTTTTTGTGTGTGAATGGTCGTGGTCGCATTGGGAAAAACTCTCGGAATTTTGTAGGGATACGAATAGGCGTAGGACTTTCTTTTCCCGCGTCGTCCTTTCCACGTGCGGATATGGTGATTTCAATTTTGAATTGGTTTAGGACATAGGCAAGTTGTAACTGTTCGGTGCCTTTTTCTTTTTCTTTTTGTTGACGGCGCCGCGCATACGAAGCTTTATTATCTTCCCCTCCCCGCCGCCGCTCTGTTTCCCGCATCGTTCTCTCCGGCGCCCTTCCCTCCTTTCCCCCTTCTCATCCTCCCTCCTAGCAACTGTTTTTGCTCTCTCTCCCGCTCTGATCGGTTGCACGCCCATTTCCCTATCTTGATCATCTAAATCTTGGACCCATCTTGCGCTACTTCTCGCGCCCTTTTTCCTTTCGCCTTCTGAACGTGACTCGGAAGCCCGGCCGATCCTTCGATTACCCTCGCCCACCAATCAGACGTGTGGAACAATAGGATCTGCCTATTGTGCGACATTTCTGATTGGTGGAACTCCGAGTTCCGAAGGATCAGCATGGCTTTCGCGGCGCGCTCCTTTCCAAGTCTTCTCCTCCTGCTTCTTTTCTTACACTTCAACTTTCCCCCTGCTTTCTCTCTCCCTCGTCTCCCTTCTCGCCACTATAAATTCCGCAAACACGTCCACAAATCTCTCTTACGTTCTCGACTCCTAAGCCGACTTCTGGGAAGCAGTAGCTAGGTAGAGTGTTTTGGTGCGAGTTGGAAAGCCGTGTCAAGCTGACGACAGACTGGCCAGTTGCGCGCTGGATCGCCACGACGGACTGTGGGATCTGGGCGAACTATGTCGAGCTTGCGTCGGTAGGGTGACGATCGCAGTGGTGGGCCATATTGGAATTCATGGCGAATGCGCCTTTGTTATTGCGGATTTTTGTCATGTGGTATGAGAGTACGGCGGCAACGCCGAATTTTTGCTTCCGAAACTTGTCCTTCCCTATCTCGACATCCCTCCTTTTCCTTCTCTCTCTCTCTGCCGTCCTTGAATGACGACGTGTCTTGATGTTTGTCTCTCCCGTGGATGAGAGTGAATCGGCATGCGTCCTGTATGAAAGAACTTCTTCCGGAACTCTTCCATTAGTTTCCTGGATAATCCCCCGAAGCAAGGGAGTATGATCTTCTTGTCTTGTGAATAGTGGATGCGGGTGCATTATTTTCCGGTCCATCTTCGATTTTTGCGCATATGTCATTTTCGCACCTTCCACAGTGAATGCATGGATAGGCAATTGCTTATCGATTTGATTTCAATAGGACTTTGTTCGAGAATGCAAGAGTGTTTAGATCTGTTACGCTAGATGCACAGCGCATGCCATCTGCCTTATGCTGCACGACATCAGCATCCGGACTCCGGAGCAGCCCGAAAAAACAAGGCCCTCCGGATCTTCGTCGCACCGAACTTGAAGTGCGAACCTGATCTATACATGGTCTGTGGACTAGGCTTCTTCTTCTCTCTAATTGGGAAAACTGATCTGATTTTGCATTGGTGTTTTCCGTTGATGACGTCTCAGAATATTTGCCATTGATTGACATGTGGACTGACAGTCGCCCTTCGAACGGGCGCCAGAATCCCGTATCTCCCGCAATAACGCGACCTTTCCCCTACAACGAGGAAAGGACACGAGTATGTGAGTGGGACGTACGAGAAGCTGTCGCACGGATCGGCGGACGATACTCCTTCCCCCCTGAAGATCGTTGTTCAGGATTCGTGGAGGTTGGGTTTGTGATCATCGATACACACTTTCCACCTTCCTCGGTACTATTGCCATTTAACGAGTTGATCGTCATTCCATGGACGGCCGTAGAACCACACTGGCCTCGCACCCTGTGCACTGAGTGGCAGCGCTTCGAGCACAACGAATCCAGGGGCTTCCACTACCGTGTGCGGAGTGAAGACGAACATAGAGAAAGAGCCACACGACTGCGACCCTCCACATCAGACTCTGAATTGGTTAGTGAGCGACGTCGAGACTTGATACGAAAGTGAGACACGCGAAGCGTGCCAAAGCCTTCTTGCTCCAAACGAAGGGTCGTAGCACGATGGGAAGTCTGGCAGAATTTTCAAAATTAAATTTGTATTTCTCTCTCCTTTCGCGCCGAACCCGCGCGCGCTTTTCGCGACGCGCGAAAAAGCGATCGACTTACTTCATCGGACCAACACGGGGGATTTCAGTTTTGTCTGTGTCCCCGCACTCAATTTCCAAAAATCCTTGGCACACCCCATCTTGCTGTTTTTCTGGGCCTTTTTCCACACCTTTAGCACTCCGTACGAAAGACAGCACAGAGCGTGAGGTTGCGCGTCACAGGCACGGCACCAAAGTGGTGACGGGTACCACTCCAGTCGGCCCTCATTCTCCCCTCAGTCCCCTGTGCAACCCCAGTTGGTGTACGGTTGACACCCCAGGTATTTGTCCCCCAGCCTAGAAACTGCCATTTTGTCAAAACGGACATTTTATATTTTTTTGAACGAAATGAAAGCTTTGTTTTTTCGCAGAAATCATGTCCAAATTTTTGGCTCCTGGGTTTTGGCATTCCTAAGACGCCAGAGCCCGTGGATGTATATCTCTGCTTCATACCATATACGTCTGGCTGTTTAGCTGGACCCCCAGGAGCCCAAAATTTGGACCTGATGTCCGCCAAGAAATGCAGTTTTGATGTCGTTCAAAAAATATAAAATGTCCTTTTTGACGAAATGGCAGTTTAGAGTAGCAGGGCTTGTTGGGGCTTGGTGGGGAGCACTGTCCTACAGGAGCATCGCTTTGGAGGGAAGTGCATGTTCGGTAGGTTCCCAGTGTTCCTCATAAGAGATAAGTAGAAGGTGTGCAGTGGGGACAATGTTGACGTAGGGAGAGAGCTGCCTTGTGAGCTCCCAATTAAAAAATGAGAGAAGACTGCTGTAGAAACCAGGAAAGCTCTTAAACCACCAGTACTTTCACAAGTCGTGCTAGTTAACGCGCCACAATTTTAGGAAATGTACAAGCTACTACAGGAGTGCCGAAATTCATCCGACTAGAAATGTTTCTACTCTTTTTTTTCCCGCGGCCGATACCTGGGCCAAGTACTGACCAGTACTTCCACGAGTCATGCCCGTTAACGCGCCACCATTTTAGGAACCGTACGGGCTACTACAGGATCGCCCAAAGTCATCCGACTAGAAACGTTTCTACTCTTTTTTTTTCCCGCGGCGGATAGCTGGGCCAAGTACTGGTGGTTTAAGTACAGACAGTGGGATCCTCATTTGGCCAGGAAGAGCAACTTGGATAAACAGTTTCGCCTGTTTATCTTTGATATTCTAGTAGGCATACTCTGGTAACATTTATTGACCTTCAAGGTATATTTCAAAACTGGTTGAATGTCATTGACAGCGGTTCCCAGCATCAGCCAAAGTTGGGTAATGGCCCCAGTAGAGAGAGAATTCAGATGTCCCCGGCATTGGTTCCAGTTACGCTAATACATTTATATGGTTTTCCAAAAGCCAAAGAAAAGGGAGGATTTAGGACAAATTGGGCAAATGATGCACGGAGAGGGAGGCCTAGGCAAGGTCAATTCTGACATCCTCATATCGAGGCGAGACAATGGAGGGAGTAAGCATATGGAGAAAGGTTGGGGTGGGGGTGTAGGAGGGAAGAAAAGGGTGAACCAGAACAGAGTTTGTGTCTTGGAATGGAACTCACTGGTTAGTAATCTCTTCCATTGGCTTTCTGAAGACATCCAGGTATGACAATTTGCTTTCTATGACGCTCTGTGTGTGCTCCTTTCAATTTTCTACACAGGTTGTATACTACTGGCTTCTTCTTTTTTTCTTTTGTTTTTCCTTTTTTTGGGGGGGACAAAAGGCTCCAATCTATTGGTGGGGAGCGGCACGTGCTGAAAAATGAGTCCAGCGTCCCATCATACATCCTGAAACTGAGCTTGACTGTGTCGACCTGCGAACATTGATTGCCCTTATCACCAGGGGATTGGCTGAGCAGGTAGTGGAATATATGACACATTGCAAATAGGAGTCTAGCCATAACCAAGGACCCCTTTGTCAAACCACCTCTTCAGACCTAATTAGGCCGCCAGAAACAACAAGTCGCCCTAGTGGTTCCACACATCCTTTCCAAATCGGGGCTGTCGGCTGAGACTTTGTCTGTAATCTTCTGCATGTTCCATCGTAGCCAGGAGCTTGTGTTCCTTTGCACGAACCAGGTCGTGCCCTGGGGGGCACCCGGGCATGACCTTGTCTCTTTTTGAAACAGGTTTTCTGCTAGGGAGAGGGTGTGAGGAGGAAAAGGGTCGGGGAAATCTGTGGAGGGGCGAAGTGGGAAAGAAGGTTCAGTGTTAGTCCAGTCCCTGAACAACAAACGGTAATCCCTTATACCCTCCAAATGCTGATCACCATCCGGCTTGTCACCAGTTCATTCTACTTCTACTACCCACCTCCCCTGTCCCCTCCCAACCATTCCCTACAAAACTTAGTAATTGTCATTTTCACGTCCCCCGCCTGCTCGTACAAATCCAGTTGGACCTTCAGGAAAACCCATCCGCGTGTCACTTCTGACTGGACCTGCTGCTTGACTTGCTCAGTGATCCCTGCGCCCTCCACACATACTCGTTCCATGGCCAGGAGGCACCGTTGCCACCATAATGCCCACAACACCGCTCGCCTCCCCAACCTATACATGTTGTCTGCATAGGCTGTCTCTTCCTGAGTTGGCCAATGGCCTGCGAAGATCGCCTGCCAAGACAAGGGCCAGGGGCTTTTCACCCCCATTTTTCTCCACACTCGGTCCCACCATCTCCAAGTGAAGTGTGCGATCGGGCATTGCTGCTCAATTGTTTCAGCTTTTAAGCAAGGCAGAGAATGCCGAGACGGCATTGACACCATGACGATGCCAGCCCCTTTTGCTCCCGATTGGTATGGTGTGTCCACCAGGCGTTGGTCAGCAGACAACGATGTGTTATTTGCCATCGCAGCGAGGTGATCTTAGGTGGTTTAGACTTCCGTTCTTGAAACCACTTAATTGGCGTGAGCAGGTGGGAGTCCATGTTAACGTGCTTGGCCCATCGATCGTCTCTCAGGTGGCGCTTGGGTCTCAGCATTCGGTTAGTGGATTTCACAGTCAAGTTGTGAAGGGTGACTTGCTGTGGGGGCGGACCGGCACGTCTCAAAGGGGTTTTCCACCGCCCTTCCAGCAGGTCAAAGGCCAGCTCGTGGATGCCCGTTTGGGGCTGAAAGACCACCCGTTCTCCCGCGTCCTCCAAAACCCTGACTCGGTATAGGTCATCGTGATCCAACCATTCAAAGGGGGCTGGGCTGCCCCACAGCCTGTTGGTTCAGGAAATACTGTAATATTCTATCAGGGTCATTCGTATGTCCAACATATAGACCCGGCCAACCGGTTTAGGGTTTCCTTTGACTGCCACCTGATCCCCTTCCTTGAGGGTTGGTCCCCGCCGTAGAGTTTTTTTTTTTTTTTTTTTTTTTTTTTCAAACGAGCCTTGTGCCCAAGACCGATATTATCAATAAGATGATTGAGGCCAGGGTCCTCACAGTCTACCCGGAGTAACCGAACCCAGCTTGTTGAGAACCGGGCTCAGCGTCCCACCTCTGAAGCTTATGATTATGATGATAGTAAATGCTGAGAGAACTACTGCTGATAATGATTAGTATATCAGCCCTTCTGACCTCCTACTCTTGGATCAACTCCTAACCTCCCTGTATCAAGACATTGTACTCAGAGACAATACCAGCCTAACCGATATCCTCCATAGCTGTTTTGTTCTCACCGCATAGCAGCCCCCCCTGTTTGCCACTGGATTGCCTTCCTCCCTCGGCAAACCCCAGATCTCTCTACAAGGCCTCATGCCCCCGCCAATTGGAGGTTACAGGGCGACGCCCCAGCTCCGGCCAACGTCGTTCTGACATCAGCAAACCAGGGGCACAAAACAGAACAACTCAGCTGACATCCGTTCTGGTTCGACCATCTCTCAATCCTATGTCCCAGATGCGAAAGAAGGCTAGATGCTGTCCAAAGCCAGAACACCAGAATGCCTAATATAACCTGCAGCACTTCTGACCTCCTAATCCTGATACCTTCCTAACTCTCTCTATACCAAGATAATACATCCTGGAGACAATACCCTCCTAACCAAAAATCTGCCATAACTGACCTGTTCTCGCCACCTAGACTATCCCTGGCCCCCTAGGTTGTCAAGAGAGCTCCCCCTGTTCGCCACTAGATTGCTTTCCTCCCTCAGCAAATCCCCAGATCTCTCTACAAGGCCTCACGCTCCTGCCAAATGCAGGTTACAGGATGACACCCTAGCTCCGACCAGCGTCGTTCCGGTATAGGCAAACAGGAGCACAAAACAAATCGACACAGCACCAATCGATCTAGATTCGATCATCCCTGAGATCCAATATCCTAAAAAAAGAGATGACTCAAAAGCCACCAAGAATACCAGAAACCAGAAAGCGTCTTATTTCTAGAAAGATGATGATACGACACCTAAAATTAATATCCCCCCACCCCTTCATTCCACCGTATCCCAATGCTGCCTCCGCTGAAACGGATTACCCTCATTA